TGTCGGCACTCGGCGCCCTGCCCTTCCTGAAGCCGGTCCAGCTGCGCTCGCCCCGCAGCTCGCCCGGGGGCCAGCGCCGGCACACGCTGCCCGCCAGCGAGTTCCGCTGCCTCAGCCCCGGGGACGCCGCCAGCGTGTTCGAGATCGAGCGCGAGGGTAAGGGCGACGGGGGAGCCTGCCCGGTGCCCGCAGCTGCACCCCTCGGCATCCTGCTTCCAGGCTCCTGTGCTCCTTGTAAAGGAGAATTCCCCTGCGGGTGCCCTCGTGGGAAGGATGCAGTGGCCGCGGCTTGTGGCCAGGCCACCCCGACGAGGTGGAGGAACTGTGGTTAATGAGCTGGAGAACCACGGCCCCAGCTCGCCCCGGGAGGTGATGCTGAGTAGGACCAACTGAGCGAGGAGCAGCTCTCCCAAAACCCTGTGAAAGGATAGGAAAAGGGGAAGTGGGAGGAAGGACACCATGCTCTGCCTCCTGCTGCACAGGGGCATTTTGAAGTTTTGCCACCCTGGCAACCTTTCCCTGTTTCCTTCACCATAGGTTCCCTCACCCAGCCCATTTCTCCCTCCTCTCCAAGGGCAGGGGCAGCCAGGAGATGCTGAGAGGGAGGGCTCCATTCAGCACCTGCTGCTGTAGCTCTGGAATCAGCAGAGTTAGGAGCCGGTCACTGGGCCATGGGGAACTGCTCCTGGAGAAGCAGAACTGCTCCTTGGAACCATCTGTGTCCCTCAGAACTCCTTTAGCCCTAGTAGGCAGCAGGACACATGCCATCTCTGCCCATCACATCCCACTTTGCCTCTCCTACATCAGTGCTGGGAGTGTTTCTGGGTCGGGTGTGCTTTGTCTCTCTCACTGAGTTCACCACTGCCCCTCTCCAGCCTTTATATCGGTTTCTGGGGACTGTCCCCTGCACCTGGACGAGATCCGCCACTTCCTGAACCTGTGCCCGGAGCTGTCCCTCGGCTGGTTTGAGGAAGGGAGGCTCGTGGCATTCATCATCGGCTCCCTCTGGGACCAGGAGAGGCTCAGCCAGGTATGACTCAGCCCTTCCCACCTCGTGCACCACCAGGGAGGCATCAGCTGGTTTGAGGGCAGCAATCCAGGACCCCTTGGGGCACCTCAGCCTCAGGAGAGAAGGAGCAAATCCAGCCTCAGGTCATTCAGTGAAGGGGGGGATAAAGGCAGAGGTGACTCTGCCCTCAGGCAGGATCAGGAGCTTCCATGAATCCAAGTGTTTTGGTTCTCCTTCTGCTAGAGACCCTCCAAACCCTGTCTCCTCCCAGGGAGGGGTTTGAGTGGCCCATCAGGGCACCAGCCCTGCCAGAGCCTGGGGACCAGAAAAAGCTCTCTGGGACCCTGCTACTCCCAAAATCTCCCACAACTACCTGCTACGGGGCTGCTCTGGTAGAAACGAACTTTCTCATTAATTAATTCAAACCACGCAGTTAAAAAATATGCCAACCAATTCCCCTCAACATTCATTTTAAAATTAAAAACCCTCCGAGGACGATGGGGGCGAGGGATGAACAGGGATGGGGAGGATGTGGAGCCTGCTCCTTTGGGGTGGGAATAAGGAGCAGGACGGGACTCGCTGGTGGTGCCAAGTGCCGTTTCCCCCTCGCAGGCAGCACTGACCCTGCACAAGCCGCAGGGCTCGGCCGTGCACATCCACGTGCTGGCCGTGCACCGCGCCGTGCGCCAGCAGGGCAAGGGCTCCATCCTGATGTGGCGCTACCTGCAGCACCTGCGCTGCCTGCCCTGCGCCCGCCGCGCCCTGCTCATGTGCCAGCCTTTCCTCGTGCCCTTCTACCAGAAGTGCGGCTTCCAGGCGCTGGGGCCCTGCGGCGTGACCGTGGGCGACCTGGCCTTCGTGGAGATGCAGCACCCAGTGCGGGGACACGCCTTCATGCGCAGGAACAGCGGCTGCTGAGCCCCTGCCCTGCTGCCCGGGGGGATGAGAGGCTGCAGCTGCTCCCTCTGCCACATCTGCCCGCCAGCCACACCAGCCCGGCCCCATCCCATCCCTGCAGGGCTGGGCACGGGAATTCCTGCCAGATCCTGCTGGAAGCATCAGCTCCCCCGGCTCAGCTTTAGCCCGGGCTGTGCTGAAGCAGAGCT